AAAAAAAAAAAAAAAAAAAATACAAGTAAAGGGATAAGATTGGATCATTAGTCCTCACTTGATTGTCGCAGTCCAAACCCTTTGAAGTCTTCAAAGCTTATGTTAGGGATCTAGGATGGGAGAGAAGCTGTGAGACCCTGCTTTCCAGCAGTAGGTCAGAGGAGGAGAGGAGTGCTGATTCAAGCAACAGATTATAGGTGGGGAAGAGAAACAGTAGAGTTAATAATACCTGGAGCCCTCAGAAAGACAAGAAAAGAGATATGACCAGTGTTTCAAGTATAATAATAAATAGCTTGTTGCCCCAGTTGTGCAAAACACTACTGTTGATTTTTTTTGGAGGAGGGAGGGTGTGTTTGGAGTAGGGGCATGTTGGGGATAGAGATTTTGGGGGCAGACCATTTCCACTGATAGTGGAAGGAAAAATGTAAGCTTAGGGTTACTTGTCTTGATGCAGTGTGGTAGGATGGTGTGCCTGTTTCCCAAGTTGTAGATAACTAATAACTAATAAGAAACTTTTAGAACACATTCATTTTTAAGTTTATTAATAAATGTTTTAAAAATTGAATTAATGAATGAGGATTTCAATGTACACCTGTCTGTTTTTATAGTAACAATGAGACTTTAAAAATTTGATTTTGTTCTTTTTCCATACATTTTGTTATATGTTTACTTCTTATCGAATCTTAGTTATAAATGATAAAAAAGTGTTTTTCTCAGTTAATCAAAGCTCTACATTTTCTAGATCTTTCTCAGCTTCACTTATCGCTTATCTTGGCTTTTATTTATGTTCAGTAAGTCAAATGTACATGTGGAATTTACCAACTTTTCCTTTATAAATTCACATTTGGGCTGAGAATAAGCTCAAGAAAAGTTAAATCAAAGATTATCTTACAATACTCACTCTAGTGTGGAGGGTGGACCTCATAGTTCCTTACTTGACGAACAGTTGATACATAAGTGATTTTATGTTGCACAAATTCTTGTTCACTTATGTGACACTGTAATTTTTAAAAATTTGTAATTACTTTAAAGTTACCTTTTTTTGAATCACTAAAAATTGATTGTAATCGTAATTAATGATTACATTGTATATTAGAAAATAAGAATATACATTTTTCCAATTTAAAACTACCATATTGTATCATATCATCTTTTCCTTTTGGTTCATTACCTGTTAATTTGTCAAATGTCCATATTCTTTGGGCCTTTTCAGAGTGTGACTTGACAAGAAGTATATAACTGGACCAAATATTGTAATTTTTTTCTTAAGTTTTGATTCTGTACTACCATGATTTAATTTCCTTTTAAGTGATAGGACCTTACTTTGAAACCACATTAAAGAGCATTTGTGAACTTTATAGAGACCAGTTCTTTACCAAATGGAAGTTTTACTTCTTTAGTTGACATCATTCATTCTAGTAACTTTTGACTACTAACAAAATTTCAACTAATATTTAGTGTATAAAGTGTGATACGGTTTAGTATCACACAAAAAATTTCAACTAATATTCATCATTCATTCAAAATTTCAAAATTCATTCATGAATTTGTATTTGTATTTTAGTGTATAAAGTGTGATACGGTTTAGTTCCTTTTTCTTTCTCTTAGGCAGTTCCTACCCACTTCCCACAGTAGTGTACTCTCTAGATTATTCTAGGTCTAGAATTTAACATTGTTTTCTAACATATATCATAGTGCTGTTATCTGATATTTTCATTTCTAGTTGAATCACCTGATTGTATATTTTAGTCTCTAATGTTTTATTTACTTTTGTAAAATATTTTTATAATTCATCTTTCTTTTCTTGTTAATAATAATGGTAAATAGACTGTTTATTTCTTTTGGCATCTTTGACCTTTATGTCAATTCAGTGCAGTATAGATTATCAAAACACCGTCACTTTTTCTAGTTCTGCAGCCTGTCATATTTTGAAAGAAGGTCACTTATCAACATTGAGGGTTTTGTTTTTTGTATTATTGCAAAATAAATTTCCTGAGTATGCTGTTCTTCTTTGGCTTCTGTAAGACAAAGAAAATATTTAAATAGTATCTTTCTCCCAAGCTGATTTTTGGGACATAGCTGATGTTATCACTTAAACTGTGTAAAACATAATTTCTACTCTGACTAAAATTCTTACCTGATTTTATTTTTGGCAAAGTTTTCTTTAACCGTTAACTAGTTGATGGAGAATGATAGCACAACTTTCTTTAAAAGACAGTTATTAAATTTTGAAACAACTTTTATAAGGAACTTAGAAACTAAACATTTTATAGTGTGTTTTCTGAAATTGAATGTACTATGGAAACTTAACTGTGTGAGTAGAATCTTACTCACTCTGTAGAAGAGGTAAAATTCTAGCCAAAAGATTCAAAATTGTTCTAAATTCACTAATAAGGTATGTCTTAGAAGATAGTTTCTGTTTACCTCTGTTTACTTGTGACCTCTCCTATGGCTTTTTTCTTCTGAGAAAAATCCCCTGTAATTTTGCAGTGTTATCTTATCTACCATTTTATCTACTTGTAAGTTATTGGCTCAGTTATTTAAAACTGAAGAATTTTACAGTTTGCCTCTCTCTTTTTTGGTTAAAGTAGTACAAAATGTCAAAAATTAGAAGGAAGGTCACAGTGGAAAATACCAAGACCATATCTGATAGCACATCCCGAAGACCCAGTGTATTTGAGAGGCTTGGACCCAGCACTGGCAGTACAGCAGAGGTGAGTTCTCACTAGTACAGTCACAGGGGTTCTCTTGAATTCCTGTTCTTCAACTTCTTATTTATATCACAAAAGTGAATAGGTTGTTGTATTGTAGGAATATTGGTTTAGTAAATTTTTTTAAATGTGTTTCATAAAAAAGGAGTGAGATGGGCATTAGGGTTTATGGGCTTTTTTTTTTTTGATGTTTTTATTATTTGGGGAGTAATATATCTCAGGTTAGTTGGAATTTTGATAGCATTTATTTAAATTTTGTCCCACTAGCATCTTTTTTTTCCAGAAATAAATATGACTAAATATGAAATTTACATAGTAATATCTGTCTCTTAGACACAGTGCCGTAACTGGCTGAAGACTGGCAACTGCCTCTATGGAAACACATGTAGATTCGTACATGGCCCTTCACCCCGTGGTAAAGGTTATAGCAGCAATTATAGAAGGTAAATTGAGAACTTTGAATTGTTCATATACTATTAGAAGATGGCTTTTGTAATTTATCTAGTATAAAAATCTGAAATACTACCATGTTTGGTCAGATTTTCTATTTTGGTGGTAGTCTTATCAATAGCAAAGATCGACAGGATCTTTTTAGTTGTTAATTTCAAGATTAATAAAGATGTTTGCTTTAAAATTAATTTGCTCAAAAATTTGTTTTTGTAATATATGTATGGCTTACTTTTGTGCCCTGCCCAGCAATTATGTATTAAAGTGCTGTTTAAGACGGCAGAATTTCATGGATTTGCTTTTAGTGAGGAGAGACTACTTTCAACTCTTAAAATAGTAGAATTTAAATAAGTATAATTTTAGCTTTTTAAGATGTTCTAAATTCAAATCGTAATTACAAAAGATAATCTAATGCAAGCTCTGTAGGTTAAAATGCATTTGCCAAATCTCTTATCACAGTATATTGAGGTAAATGAAAGTATGTATTTATATGTGGATATGTGTACTACCTATTTAGAATATCATTTTTCCTTTAATAAAGGCAAGGCTAAATTAGACTTTCCTAATAAAAATCTTTTATTTTTCTTTTGGCTCCCTCATGATGATTTTGTTATGGTGTTTAAAGATGTAACATACATAAAGATTGTCACAAAAGCAGTTTAAACTTGATTGGTAAATAACTGATTTACCTAGTCCTAAAATTGAATGTGCTGATTGCTTTGGCTTCAGCAACAGTGTAATAACTGAACATTAGCATTTGGAGATTTCCTTTTTAATTGGGTGAATTTTTGTGTATGTGTATAGATTTTGAAGTTTAACAGAACTTAAAATTCAAAACCTTAACATTAGCTGACTTGCTGTTCACTTAAATGTTGTACATTTTTAGATTACTTGTGATGCTGAGTACTCTGTTTTATTTGTATTTAGATTGTCATCTGTCCCTTCTGTCAATGTGGGAAAGTTAGTCTTTATAAGTTTAATACCTGTATAAACAAACACATACCTGGGGAAACTGTTTCAATAATTTTAATGTTTTGCTTATATTATTACTGTACTTTTAATACATGCTTTACTTCATCTGTGACATTAACATACTCAAAATTTTTATACAAGAGATGGTTGTGAGGCAAATGGGCAGAGAAATTTGTCTAAAATGGAAAAAAATAGTGTCATTACTAGATTTAGAATAAAGGATTTTTTGTTATAATTTTGCTATTTTGTGCATTTTTCCCCCCAATAACTTCCTTCGTATTTGTATATTTTCCCTTTTTTTAATAAGGAAGAAATATATAGTTCATAATGTGATTCAGAGATGGAAAGAAAAGTAATGTATTTCAGAAATGCTTACTTAGTCACAAATCATTTAAGTCACTGAGCATTCACTGTATGTAGAGCATTCTGTTAGGTACTGTTTAGGATAGAAACAAGTTTATAATACACTGTCTTATTATATAAAGGAAACTAAGGCACATAAAATTTACATGTGCATCATAATTATAATTTAAAGCATTTAAGTGCTGGTTCTTAATAAGAAGATCCATTTACCAGTTCAGCTTTAACTGTTAGAACATTTAATATAGATCTATAAAATGTGCATGTAAATGTTAATGAGCTCCTTTAAAGTGAATTGACTGAAATTATTTTTCACTAATCATGTGATTTGTATTAATGATTGATAAAGGACTCGATTTGATTGAACAGCTATTACTTGAAATAGATGTCAGTATTTTTGTAATTTGTTTATATCTTTTAAAAACATTATACACATTTTTCTTTGGTGGCTAAAGAGGGACATATCATTCCTTAACAACTATTGCCCTCTTTTAATGGTGCTCTAGGAATAGTCTATAAAGGCAGTGTGTTTTCTACCTCTGCTTTATTTTTATCACTTAGTGATGGTGTGAAAATAATAGAACATCCATTTATCAAATTGCTAATATAAATTATGAAGCTTTACCAGTGTTAAATATAAATGTGTATATTTTCCTTAATTAAAAACAAGAGTATAAAAGCAGAGTATAAACTCACTGTTGAAAATCTTGCTTTGAATTTTTCAACTACTTTCTACTCTGAAATAGTTTCAAATATAAGAAGAATTGTAAGAATAACATTATTTGCTTTCATTCTTGAGATGCATAAAATATTTTCACAGTTGTTGATGTTGCATCCAACCATATACGTGTATAGATGATAATACTGTTGTTTCTAGATTAATTTTGCAGTGCTGTGGTTTAAAGCTTTACCTTCCTACTTTTTGCTTTCAAATATAACTAATATATTTATGTGATTCATAGGAAAACAAATTAAGCTATTAATTACAAATTCCTTTCTCTCAGCTCACCTATAGTTTCTTATTAATATCACCAGTACCTGCCACCCCATGAAGTTTTAGTGTATGCATTTTGATTGGTATTGGGAGAAAACTTGTAAGTGATGCTTATATTTTTTTATATATTAATATATAAGCTGAAATTTATTAATTGTTTTTCTGAACTTTAGGAGCCATGGATAGTAGAAAAACTATATTGAGATTTGTGAGGTTATTTCTGTAAATATATTCTTATAAAATGTTATATAAATATAGATTTTTGTTGTTTTGTTTTGTTTTTTTGTTTTGTTTTTGTTTTTTGGTTCAAAGGTCACCAGAAAGACCTACAGGGGATCTTAGAGAAAGAATGAAGAACAAGCGCCAAGATGTGGACACTGAGTCCCAGAAACGAAATACAGAGGAGTCATCCTCACCTGTTAGGGTAGGAATGAATTTCCCCAAACAAAGTTAAATTTCAGTAGTGATTTATTATTTATGTTCTATTTTAAATATTATCTTGTGTGCTAAATATATGGTAAATGTGTAATATTGCATTACAGTGTTCTATATGGGTAGTGTAATTTAGAGGGAAAAAGTCCTCTGGAAAAACTCGTAATTCTTACCGTTTTAGTTCTTGGTGGTAGTTAAAATGAAGGGATCTGGTTGGCAGAGCTCAAGCTGAACTTCATAGGGTTTCTGTGCCATGGGGGACATCATGCGTATTTAAATGTATTCTTAAGTTTTCGGAATTCAGCCATCCATTGTTTCCTGCCTGCGGAATTCCAAGAAGGGTTGAAGTGCCTTTGCAGTACAACCCTTTTAAATTAAAACAGTGAAGGCAAGGCATGGTGGTGACAGAAACTGAACTAGAAAGCACATATGATCACAGAATTTAGTGGTGAAACCAGAAGAGAAGCACAATTTATGATGCAGTTTATTGATTAAAAGAAAACATAGATGTTTGTCAGGAATGGAAATTTCCCAGATCTAATTTTTTTTTTAAAGAAATTTATCGTGCTCTTGTGTGTGCATTTGCAATGAATTTATTGAGATACAGTTCATCCATTTAAAGTGTACACTTGGGCAGCTTTTCACATATTCAGTCATGCATCCATCACCACAGTTTATTTTAGAACAATTTCATCACCCCAGAAAGAATACTCATAACCTTTAGCGGTCATTTCCCTAGCCCCTCAGTTGACCACCAGCCCTGGGCAAACACTATTCCAGTTACTGTCACTGTAGATTTGCCTATTCTGGATATTTATATAAATCGAGTCATACAATATGTGAGTTTTTTTGTCACTAGCTTCTTTCACTTAGCATAGTGTTTTCAAGGTTTGTGAAAGATTAGGGGATGTATCAGTATTTCACTTCTTGTTTTTGCCAAATAATATTCCATTGTATTGAGATATCACATTCTTTTTATCCATTCATCAGTCGATGAATGTTGGGGTTATTTCCATGTTTTGGCTCTTATGAATAATGCTGCTATGAACATTTGTATACAAGTTTTTGTGTGGCCATATGTTTTTATTTCTCTTGAGTTTATATCTGGGAGTGGGATTGCTCAGTCATGTGGTAACTATGTTTAACCTTTTGAGGAACTGCTAGGATGTTTTCCAAAACAGCTGCACCATTTTAAGTTCTTTACATCAGTGTGTGAGATTTCCAGTACTCCACATCTTTGCCAAAATTTGCTGTAATCTAATTTTTTGATTATACCTATCGGTAATCTCATTGTAGTTTTGACTTGCATTTCTCTGATTGCTAGTGATGTTGAACATCTTCTTGTGTGCTTATTGGCCATTTGTATATGTTCTTTGGAGAAATGTCTATTCAGATCCTTTGTCCATTTTTAGATTGGGTTGTCTTTTTATTGTTGATTTGTAAGAATTCTTTATGTATTTTGGATCCAAGTCCCTTATATATATGATTTGCAAAAATTTTCTCCTCTTCTGTGGGTTGTCTTTTCAAGTTCTTGATGGTGTCCTTTAAAAAATGTTTTTAATTTGATGAAATCCAATTTATCTATATTTTTGTTGTGCTTTTGGTGTCACATTTAAGAAACTGTTGTCTAATTCAAGGTCAGAAAGATTTATGCACTTTAGCTCTTACATTTAAATCTTTGATCCATTTTGAGTTAATTTTTATTTATGGTGTGAGGTAAGGGTCCAACCTCATTCTTCTGCATATGGATATCTAGTTGTCTCATTATAGCCTTTTTATGAAAGTTACTGAATTGTGTAAGCAGCAACCTCTTTGATAATTTTAGATATATAGAAGCTTCCTTTTGGCTATTTTGATCCTTGAAAAAAAGCTGTGTCACAGTTTTATAGTTTGTAAAGACATCTTTGGGGACTTAAAGTAATGCAGTTTTAAGTATGTAGCTTTCTAATGTCTGATATGATACATAAAACTTTTAGAAATCTCAAATGGTAGTTCTCAGCTGGCGGTATGTATCAAAATCCTTTTGGAGGAGAAATGGTCTTTTTCAAAATACACACGCAGGTACTTTACCCATAATCTACTGAATTAGAATTTCTGGGTAGGGGCTGAGCATGTGTATTGCATTTTGAAATTACTTTTTATTTCAGAATAATGAATGGACTCCATGGTTTGCTGGTATATGTTTAACAACCACTCAGAAAAAAAGAAAGCCATACTTTGTAGGATTTACCAATTTCTTTGGTGTAAATATTCCCATCATGGTCAGTTTCAAGCTACTAAAATGGTATCACTGAATACAGAGTTGGGAAGTGTGGGGATACACACACACACACACACACACACAATAAATTTAATTAACCACAAGAGTAAAGTGTACTAAAATATTTGGGAAGTGAGTTTTGAATAATTAGTACTGTTGGTTTTAATATTACTTATTTAATTATTGTTAGTTTTTATGATTTAATTTTTAGTTACGGCTTGTGCAGTTCCTAAAAATTTAAGCTAGCTCTTGTGAGTCAGTGTGAACTGGCTCCAGCATACCACTAGGTAGATTGTACTTAATGTAAAGGGCAGACATCTGGAATTCATATTCTGAACACATTACTTTAGGAATTGTTATTTAATGCTACTGTCAGTTTCTTTATCTGTAAAATGGAGGTGATAGCTATATTATTGTGTTGCTGTGAAGAAAATATATGTAAAACAAGTATCATGACTGACTCGTCCAATGTGACAGCTTAATAAATGGTATGTACTGGTATTAGAATAGCTCTTAGCCTTTTTTCTCAAATATAAATTGGTTTTAGGCTCTTAATAGGAGATGAATATCGGCACTGGAGATTGAGGTTTTTAACAGATATCTAAGTGTAAGTAGTTGTTGATTGTAAAGGTTTATATGTTCAGCATATCATTTTAGTAGACAGCAAAGTTGGTATTTTGTTAAGACATTTAAAGCCTGATTCTTGCTTTCCTTAGATGAGATAGTCCTCAAAGGCACTTAGCTTCATGCACACCTAAGGGATAAAGTCTCAAGATTCAAGAGTACTCAGGTTTTAGGGAGTTCACTATCCAAACTTAGAGAAAACTGTTAATAAGTTAGGATAGCAGGTATTAATTATTTTGAGTGCTATATCTGGCACGAAAACAGGTGCTGATCATTTCTATGGTACATTCCCTATTGTAACATGTGTGACTCTTGATCTTCAAGGGTAGATCTTGAAATAATGAATTTCTATGGGAAATAAATTTCCCATAGAAATAATGAATTTCTATGGGAAAGTCAGATGTAGTTTATGTAAGGGCATGTATCGCATAGATAACATAGCATGGCTAAGAAAGGATGTGTGTGATTTTCCGCAAACTAATTCCACTGTCTCTGCTATTGACCTCAACTCCAATGTGTCTGAGGTTGATAAACCCTGAACTTGTGGAGAGACCAGTTCATAAATAGGTAAACTGTAATGCTATAGACTGTGGTAGTATGTCAGAGAGAGAAGAGCAAAGCTCACAATGGAGGGAATAAGTAACTGCCTGGGGAACCAGAGGAAAATGACATTTGCACTGGATATTGAAGGATAGATGGAATGAAGGAGGGAATGGGTGAGAGTCTAGGAAGAGGAAGAAAACCAACACAATAACAATAAGGAGTTTTAAAGGACTCGTGTGTTTGAGAACCTGTGAAGCTGTGTGCCTAGAGTGAAAGAATTAACGGCGTGTGTATGTGAGATGAGGGCTGAAGAGATCTATCTTGTTTACCAATTCATCTCCAGACCCTGGAACTAGTAAGTTCACTTACTGAATAAATGAAAAGTGATTCTGATGTGCAGCCATTGTTGAGAACTCCTGATGGTCTCAGGTCTGCGCTGTCCAGTGGGGCTGTTGAGCACTTGAAGTGTAGCTAGTCTGAATTGAGATGTGCTGTAAGTGTAAAATACATACTGAATTTCAAGAACTTAGTATGAAAAAAAAGTCAAATATCTTGTTAATAATTTTTTATGTTGGTCATATGTTGCACTGGCAATATTTTGGACATGTTGGCTGGTCTGGGTGATCAGAACCATGCTTAACATAACGGAACTGAATTTAACATGGTGAGAGGCTAATTTGAGGTAGTGTCAGTAGGATTTGATGACCAAAAGAATGAGTGGAGGGGAGGTGTTAAGCCTAACTACAGGCTTTCCATACTATTAACTAAGATGGAAAGGCCCCTTTTGTACGCTAGACTCATAGCATCACAGACTACTAACTTTTGGCACTGTTTTCTGTATTTGCACAGACACTAATATGCTATTTTAGAACAGTTATGAAATAATAAACATATTTTTATGGTACTGGATACTTTCCACCAGTCTATAGAACTTTTCAAATGCAGTCATTGAATTGTGTTTTCTTCTTCTATAACAGAGACTTGTTATTTTACAGAATTGGAGCACACAATTAAAATAGCTTTGAAAGCAAAATTAGACCTGTAAATATAGAGTCAGGAGGAACATTCAGGCATTTGTTGATGATTAGGGCATGCATGTGCTATAGGGGATCTCTGTCTCTTAAGAGAAGCTTTGTGGCCACATTCAAGAAAGTATAAAATAATTCATCATTATGGGAGGATATCTAATAGTTTAGGATTTAGAGATGCACTGTGAGCATCCCTTGCCTCACCTGAAATCTTACCTTAGAGCAGATGGGCAATGGTCTGAATTTATTTGTATGAATTGGTCTTTTAAAACATTTTTTTCTTTTTTAAGTTATAAAATACGTTATACATTTACCATTTTAAACATTTTAAAGTGTACAGTTCTGTGGCATTAGGTATATTCACATTGTTATGCAATCTTTACCACCATCCATCTCCAGTATTTTTCATGATCTTTGTTTTTAACGTCTTAATCTTTTTTGTCAATCTGCTTTCTCATATATGAAATTAAAACCATTGGAATAATGTTTCAACTGATCTGTGTAATATATTTAAAAATATTTTTTCTTAATCATTTT